ATCGCAGACGATTTAACGATGAGCTGTATGAGCTTTACAACGATATAGACATAGTGCAGCGAATTAAAATTCAGCGGCTCCGCTGGCTTGGCCATGTCGTTCGGATGGACAGAAACGCTCCTGCTCTGAAAATATTCAACGCGGGCCGCGATGCTGGTAACAGAGGAAGAGGAAGGCCTCCTCTGCGTTGGAAAGACCAGGTGGAGAAGGACTTGGCTTCACTTGGCATTTTCAATTGGCGTCAGTTAGCACAGAAGAGAAATGACTGGCGTGCTGTTTTGGACTCGGCCAAAATCGCTGAGGCGGTTACAGCGCCAAATAAGAAGAAGAAGAAGAAAGGTAGCTTTTCTTTTTCCGATCTGGCCACTCGGGTACAGCATCCAATGTCCCAAGAATCGAGTCTTAAGATAAAATAAAGAGAAATCTTTCAGAAACAGTGCTAATGGTGTATTAAATATAGTGTTTTCTAGTGGAATGGGAGCCAAAATCCAAAATTAAAAAAAGTGACATTTTGAACGGTATTTTGAGGGTTAAGTTATAGTCATTTATCTTCACGACAAAAAAATTTTCATTCCATTATCTGTTTTCTAAGCGAAGATCTACGATTTTGAAAAAAAAACTCGTGTTTTGCCTATAGTGCAACGCCTCTAGCCATTGTGTATCACAACTTTAAGTTATCGATGCAAATTTTTTTTATCTCCCCCACCCCCCCATTCGCCAAATCCTGGCTACGCCACTGACAGCTGGCAACCCTTTTCAAAAATAAGTCTTTATTGGACATCTACAGGCCAAGCCCTGTCATTTGACACCTCACTTTTGAAAATAGAACCAACTATATGTACATACTTATGTACAATCCACAAGAACCCAAATTTTCAACTTCAAACTGCATTTACAGTGAAAGTATGAAAGTTATCCAAAAAACCAATTGCATTTTTGAACTTAGCGTTCTCAAATTTACTAAGAAGTGAATTTTCATTTATATCCGTCCATAATTCTATTTTTGCCCACATTTTATATGGAAGGGAAGCACTGTGCTGTGGTTCAATTTTGTGCAAATCTATGTCTTATTACCTTTCAACTAAACATGCTAAATGTGAAACAAATCATAGCATAAATACGGTTTTTAAAAAATCCCTCGACCCGGGTGCTACCAAACGAGACCATTTTTGCCAAAAATGTTCCTGTTTACATAACTAGTATATATTATAAAAAGCAGTCAAATCGGCCCATAAATAAGTAAGATACATATAGGACTTTTAATTTTTTTACGCGGTATACTTTTCGCTGGAATCGCCCATACGTAGCGAAAGTGACGTGAACGTTGAGCCTACAATTCCTAGAACAATATTCATTTCAAATAGGCAATACTAAACATAAAACATAAAAACTAAATATTTTTATTCCAACAGTAATAGAAATTTACTTTCCGATAATTTTTGCGAAACCCTGCAGTACTTGCTGAATCTCCATAACAAATCCAATACACCCTAAATGTAGACCACACTTATCAGACCATATTGTTCATTGCTAACATCAACAATTGATTAATAACTATAAATAACACTTTCAAAAAACATAAAACTCAAAAGGCTGTTGTAACCTCATTTCCTTGTGTTGAATATAATTTTAATCGAACGTGGATAGACAATCATTCCCTTATCAGTTTCCACTCTCATACTGAAAGTATATGTGGCATATTTTACATAATATTTAGTTTTTGAACTATTAAAAAAGGTCGGAAATAGCCAAGTAACAAAAACTGTATCCCTGACGACAAAACGCTAAAAACAAGTGTAGCAACGCAGATAGCCATTAACGCAACGACTGAGAAGTTTGCGACCATGTGGTTTTGGTACATTTTTAAAGCTCAGTTTGGCGTAAAGAAAACCTAAAAAGTCTTGAAAAGACAATGACACATGTGGGTCGGAGGCGCCGCAATCTGTTTTTTTTTTTGTCAATTTAGCTTACTGATTAAAGATCATATTGGTGAAACATCTTATGTATATTTGCCTTGCGCCATGCATACATCCTACATATGTATAATCAGAATCCATAACTAGGGAGATTTAAGAATAAAATCAAGAGAGGGTTGGAGAACCCAACCGAAATTGAGTAACGTCGCCTATCGATGGGGTCTTTGGGAGCATTTTACATATGCATATATGAGCACCAGCACAAAAACGCATGCAGCAAGGTAAGCAGACGTTGGAAGAGTATGTAGTTTTCATATGCTATTGCAAACAAACATATGATGTACAAAGCCACCATTTACATACACACACAGGCACAACGAAACTATTAGAAGTGGTGCCAGAGCGCAATGAGAGGAAGCCAAAGAGGCTTTGGCAAGCACATGGTGCGCATGAATAGCGCAAACATGCTATGGTTTGAGTTTCATCATCCAATCGTGTGACCAGCTGTTGGAAGATGCATTTATATTAATTCCTGTGGATATTTTACAGCCTACGATGTAAACAAATGATAAAGATTGCGTATGAAACCACTGATACTTATAGAACGGTGTCAAAACTCATTGCCACAAAAACTAATGTTTAACAACAATATAGCCTGCAGATATACATATATGTATATAGCATGTACAACTACAGTCTACCTGGTCACTCTAAATACGAGAATTTTTGTGGTTTACTTTGTGTTTGTGTGCCATATGAAACAAGCGTTTCTCGGGAACACGAAATACATAGGCACAAGGGAAACAAAAAAAGTTCTTCTCGTCCCAAATAGAAAAGGAAACGAATGAAATATACAAATAAGCAAATCAATTTATGTTTTATTGGAACACGAAAACTATTATCAAAAAATTTACCCCGTACAGATCCCAAACATTAGGAAAAAGATCTCTCTTGAATTCATAAAACAAGCATTTGAAGTATCTACTTATTTACTTATATCATCGAATACAAATTACAGCCCAAGGCACATAAATACAGGTAGAAGCCAAAATGACGTTGCTCTCATG